AGGTTAAAGTCACAGAGATCACAGAGACTTTTTCCCCCATTCTGATGTTTGATGTGAACATTAACTGGAGCTCTTGACCTGTATCTGTATGATTATATGCATTATGCTGCAGCAGCTGATTGGCCGATTGGATAGCTGCATAAATGAGCAGATGTACAGGTGTTCCTATTAAAGTGGACGGTGAGTGTGTGTGTGTGTGTGTGTGTGTGTGTGTGTGTATAAATATCTCGAGTTCTACTAAACCATTTTCACTGGTCCTAAATCACAGTAACTGGACCTTGTTAGGACCCTGTGAAAACCGCTGACATGAGATGCATTTCTTGTGACATGCGTGGCTTGTGAAAACGTTTCACAGAACGCAGAGCAGAATGTTGAAAAAAGGAAGTAGTTCAGGCCAAGAGTGACACCAAGCACTTGCATACATTACTTATGCGGGTGGGGTGTGGGGGTTAGTGACGAGGGGTTTTGTTCTCTAAACATGCTTCCCTTTTAAAGGTTTTGCTTTTCCTTGTGCTAACGGACTTCTTCTTTTCATATGCACCAAGTAATACGATCTTATGTACTATGATGATATAAAAGAAGGACCAATCAGCAACTACAGGCGGATGGTATGTGAGGGAAATAATCAGCAAGGTGAAGTTTATTTTCCGATAACCACGCATCCTGAAGTATTTTATCCCTCATTTACCACAGCGGTTCTTTCAACACTAACGATTTTCGCTCGTTAAAGAATACTTTTTATCCTTTATACACTCAGTGTCCACTTTAATAGGAACACTTGTACACCTGCTCATTTATGCAGTTATCTAATCAGCCAATCATGTGGCAGCAGCAGTGCAATGTATAACATCATGCAGATACAAGGGTCAAGGGCTTCAGTTAATGTTCACATCAAAGAACAGAATGATGAAAAATTGTTATCTCTGTGACCTAAACCATGGCAGGGATGTTGGTGCCAGATGGGCTGGTTTGAGTCTTTCAGAAACTGCTGAGCTCTTGGGAATTTCAACATTCAGCAGTCTCTAGAGTTTACACAGAATGGTGTGACAAACAAAAAACACTGAGTGAGTGACAGTTCTGTGGGTGGAAATGCCTTGTTGATAGAGAGGTCAGAGGAAAATGGCCAGATTGGTTCCATCTGCCAGGAAGGATATAGTAACACATATAATCACTCTTTACAACCGTGGTGAGCAGAAAAGCATCTCAGCATGCACAAAACATCGAAGATTACAGTTGGACAGTTGAAAATTAGAAAAAAAAAAACTTTTTGCAGTCTTCAACACGTCATACTTTTTATCCGTTTACAGCTACACCTAACGTGGAAGGTTATTTACTGTTATTAACATTAGAGCAGCTATAAAACAGTCATTCCCTCACCAACCTCTATTTTTTTTTTCTTTTGACGTTAAAAAAATAAAATAAAATAAAATGCAGATTGTCACGTTACTGTTACTGAAAAACCATAAAGCACTCCGTCCTAAAGACTTTCCCGTATTGGAAAACTTAGTTATAGCTTTACCTCTGACTGTTACCAAGCACTGACAATGGAGGTTCCACCAATGCTAAGCAAACCTCTCCTCACCGAAAAGTTCACCATATCAAAAATGACATGTTTTTTACTCAGTTTATCTGCCATAAAAGTCCCTGTGTCAGCTGTCACTATAGAAATGACAACGTATTAAAATGAGAGGATCAATACAAACCTGAGATTTGCAGTTGCACTACTGGCAGAGCCATGCTGTTATAGAAAACTGATCAATACCTTCTGACCAATCAGAATCAAGAACCCAACAGCACTGTGGAATAAGGCAAAAATAGATCACAATACCCGAAAAGCTTTTTTATGATACACAATATGCATCACCCACAACAATATAGTTTTTAAAATATAAATCCACAGATTATATTTTTCCTTTTGTATACGACACCTATGAGGCCTACTCATGCCAAGTTATACGAACATTACAGGTGTGAAGGTGCTGGACTTTAAGCCCATGTTGGACTTTGTATTCATGAAGAAGATCAGTGTTGTGTCAGTCAACATCACACATGCTCACAGCATAAAATATGTCAGATCCAATACCAGTAAAGCATTCAGGTCAATAATGGCATCAATACCAATAGCATCAGATTAACGCATTCCTAACACCTATGAAAATTAATACAGAGAAGAAGGGAAAAATGAAACAGCTAGCTATGTGTTACTGTGAGACTGCTGGTGTTGTAACAGTATTCACTGTACACACAGCCCTCTCAGCAGAACACCGTTAAACTGTTGGCATGGGATGCATTTAATTACTTAACACAAACAAAATACGCAGCTGTAAATTTTGTCTTGTTTTCATTTTCCACAGACAATAATGCATTGTCAGCTCGAATCTGGCAGGTAGGTATACCACCGTACAATAAATCAGAGCTTTGGTTTTTAGTGGTGGAAAAGATGGCTGCAAATCAGGGACCTTTGGTTAACTACTCATTCATTAATGATGAACTAATGTAATTTCATCATGTTAAGGATTGCTGTTGTTTAAATGACATTGTCTTATTTTTGGGGAATACTGCAAGTAAAGGAAATGCAAGAGTGTGCTGGATTTGTCAGGATTTCTGCAGAAGCTAACAGGAGTGGGATTAAGTATAGTTCCATGCACAGTTCTAATATAACTGATCACAAATCAAAAGTACAATCATACCTCTGAGCCGTTTCTCCCAGTAACCTTATTGAAATAAACTTCAGTGCTTCTTCTTACGTTTCTAAGTAAGCCACCAGACTTTCTCCAGACTGCATTACTAAACGAATTTTATTTACTTCTAAGAACAGTAAGTCAATGAAAAGTTACTATATAAGAATAATCATTTGAGTCCCTCAGCCTTGGCTCCATTATAGGACACAGTGAACATATCCTTAGTCACAGGAGAAGCTTGCAAATTGTTTAAAAATGATTGAGAAATGAAGACAAAAAAAAAAAAAAAAAAAAAAAAAAAAAAAAAAAAAAAAAAAAAAAAAAAAAAAAAAAAAAAAAAAAAAAAAAAAAAAAAAAAAAAAAAAAAAAAGATGCCAAACTATGTAAAATGTGTAGATAGAAAAATCATTCCCTACACAACTAAGAGTTGAGAGAGGCACAATGACATTAGTCACAGTTAAAGCCTGTACCAGAGTGTGTGGTTTTGCACTGTAATGAGCAATTTCCCCTTATGCTCTTCTCTACTGGAACTTTAATTTCATGGCTACATGGTACCAGCCAACCTCTCTCCCAAATATATACACTCAATCACACAAAATCAGAGAACAGCCTAAACCAAATCCACCAGATCCCAAAATTATTCATTCATAATCCAAGGGTGACAGTGTCTCTCTCTATCTCACACACACACACACACACACACACAAAAAGCTTTCCTGCATTTATTATCAGCCTAACAGCTTGAATTCCATAATGAGAACACCACAAACCAGACCCGTTTTATCAGTCTTGATCAAAATCAGGGTTAATTAGAAGAACAGGAGATAATTAGAGGAGTCCTGGGTGATGTGCATTGGTGGCCCCAGCCCCCCAGCCACAGCCCTGCTGAATGGAGCCCAGGAAAAAAAGAAAAAAGCACTGACCTTACACGAGTCCTTTTTTAATCTGTACGACAGCTGCGCGTGTGAGTGAATGAGCCGTAGTTTCTTCTAAGCCTGGGAGCTGCTGTTGTTATCCAAAGAGTCACGCCGGAACAAAAAGCGTCACTGCGAGCTGTTCCTTTCGTTCTCACTTCTCTCACTCAGTGCATCCTCTTTGGTTCCTTCCCCTTCTCTCTCTCTCTCTCTCTCTCTCACTCTTCCTAGTCTCTCTCTCTCCTGCTCGTTTCCCCCCCTTCAGCCTCAAACCCTTCTCGATCTCTCTCTGTAACCCATGAATATAATCACATTCCAGCGGAGAGAAATCATATGGCAGGGAAACGGCAGTCTCGCTGTCCTTGCGTCAATCCCTCGTTCTTTGGGTGCCAGCATATGTGTGTTTCGCATGGACAATCAGGTCTATTATGCTGATCGAGGGAGGAAACCCGAGGATATCATCTGCCAGCAGAAAGAGAAGGGGGGTGGTGGTGGTGCTGGGGAGCAGGAGGGAGGAAGCAAAAGAGAGAGAGGAATAGAGAGAATGTAGACAGTGCTGCTCAGAAGACTGTTTACGACTGTGTCCATGTGCTAACTGTTCACTGTGTCCATCATCGAATACGGCATACAAATCAGCCTCATTCAACTGGAGTCTGACACAGCCATGTGACACACGCCGGCAGGGTGGGGACAGAGAGAGACGGAAGGATGGGGGATGCAGATGAATGAGGGGCTTGTGGGGGAGGGTTAGAAAAAAAAAAAAAAGACACAGCAGCAAGAGGCAACCTAAAGTGGCCACCTACACAATTCTCATGCTTCCATCATTTCACCCAAAGCCCTCAGTGAAAATCCCAAACGCTTCATTACTAAGCCGCACCATATATTTATGCAATGCCACAGATTAAAGGCCTGCGCAAGATCTATACAGTGTGGAATCATCTCTTACATACAAGTTTTAATGTTTAGCGCAAAAATACAAAAATAAACACATACAGTCGCTGAAGATGATAAATACAGTGCCCTCCAGAATTAATGGCACTATGAGAATGAGCAAAATGTAATATCTAAAGAGAAGAACACATCCAATAAGTGATTAAAGGATACTATGTATTTTATTTAAACATTTTTTCTTTTTTTTTTTCTGTCACACAATTTTTTTTTTTTTTTTGAAGTAGTACAAATGTTTTTTTCCCCCAGAATGTTTCGGAATTATTGGCACCCTTACAATTAATATTTAGTGATTAGATTAGATTCAAAGTGTCATTGTGCAGAGTACGAGTACAGAGCCAATGAAATGCAGTTTTTCGCATATCCCAGCTTGCTAGGAAGCTGGGGTCAGGGTGCAGGGTCAGCCATGATACAGTGCCCCTGAGCAGATGTGCTCAAGTGTCCAACAGCAGCAGCTTGACAGTGCTGGGGCTTGAACCCCAGTAGTACCCCAGCACAGTAATCCAGAGCCTTAACCGTTCAGCCACCACTGCCTGCCCTGGAAAGAATAACAATATTTGGGTCCACTTGACCCCTCTAAGGATAGTCAACAGGTGCAGACCCAGCAAAGTATTACAGAGGAGCAAACAGAGTATGCAAACAAATACTGCAGCAAAGCCGATTTACATGAAGAAAAAAAAAAAAAACCCTAGACCCCTAAACATGAACTCAGCTTCTGTAGCAGACTGTTGCAGGTCATTCAATCTCCTGCATTAATGTAATTTATTTGGCTAAAGACGGCTCATTGGACCAGAAACTAGCTATGCAGTTTCTATCTAGCAATGATGTTCCTAGGAAGAAGCATTTCTATCCTGATGGGAGTTGTCTCTTTCAGGATGACTCCGCCCCCATCCACAGGGTATGAGGTCTCACTGAATGGTTTGATGAGGAGGTAAATCATATGCTATGGCTTTTGTAGTCACCAGATCTCACCCAGTTGAACACCCTGGGGTGATGAAGTGATGTGTTAAGACAGTGTTCTCCACCACACCAACATCAAAACACCAACTGAGGGAATATCTTTGAAAGAATGGGGTTTATCACTCCAGCACAGTTCCAGAGACTTGCAAAATTTATGGCAAGTGTCTTTGAAGCAGTTCTGGTGGCTCATTGTGGCCCGACACCTTACTAAGAAACTTTACGGTGGTTTTGCCAAGAATAAAGTTTTTTTTTTTTTATTTGACTTAAGTTATGCAAAGACAGATGCACTTTTATTGCATTTCATTCGGCTTTGTGGTTGAACATCCAATGGCGTGAACTACACGGAGTGCACTATGTGTACAAGGGAGAATTAATATAGAATACAAGTCTTCACTCACACCAGCTACATCCAAGAAAAAGACTCACTACAAACACTGGTAAACATTTAAGTGTTGTTTCTGACTGTACATTATGATGTTACATTTTGGCATGGTAACTATTATAATTAAGAGAATTACTTCTTGAGCATCTGAGCAAGCACAGTATCTGTTAACGAGATCTTCATCTCTCTTAAGCCTCTCCACACTGAAAAGCCAAACAGATGTTCCTACTGATTCAGTCCAACTCATTTCTGAATGCTCCCGTTTCCATTGCACTCCACATTGTCTTGTAGTGGAAGCTAGACGTTCTGGCCAAACGTTAGCCTTCTCTTATATC